TATTTATTCTCGTTAAACACAGAGAATCTTGTCAAACCGAAGGCTTTAGAGTGACTGTCATCTTAGTTTCTTATTGTAACTGTAAAGATTATTTATCTTAACAAGTTTTAATGTTAATTTATTTCTGCTATTTTGATTGTATCCATGTGATCGTTTCCATCCATAAAACTACTCATCAAAATCAATTCTATTCGATTACACCATTACCCTACTTGGGTAATAAACATTATACTTTTCGAAAGTGTAGATAAAACATTCATCTTATGGATAATGTTCCAACTAATAACTTACATGTATGAAGTTTCGATTATAATATATACGTATTCTTAGTAATTTTCTTTAGTTTCTTTCTGTAAAACATTTGTCAACTATACTTTAGTATTCCATTTTTATTCTAGAGAGTTTTAATGCTTGACATTATTGATTGTAAATCGCAGAAACAATATTCATTTACCGAAACTTGTTACTAAACGAATATTTGACTAGGAAAAAATGAATTAATTATTAGATTTCATTCATACGTCTTAATCACTATGCAAGGTTGTTTAAGATGAATAATACTTAAATGATTTCATCAAAAGGGATTGATTCACCTCATATACATTACATAAATAAATGTAATTCATTATTATCTGATCAGTTTTGTTTAGAAAATGTCGATAAAGAAATTAGACAATATGTTATTTGTAAGCAAAGATGGATAGTGGCTAGTAATGGAATCCAGGACGCGCGTTTTGTCCTATTTGGGACTCATTAGCTGAATGTGCCTGCATCTGGAAGTTGATATTCACTCTGAGTTTCAAACCCAGTAACATTCGCTTCAAACAGACTGATCAATTGCAGTCTTAAAATTTAATGGGAAGATTTAAGCAAAGCAATACCAAGTGAATATGTTATTTGATTAGTAAGAAAAAGTTTTGAGATTTAGTTTCAATACCAAGTTTTGTTTAATGTCATAGGTCAATAGGAAAGGACTAGTCATAAAGAATTTCCTGAATACTGAGTAAGTAGTAATTTACTAAATGTTATTTTTTATGAGTTCAGCGTATCTTTCAAATCTCAAAATTCAAGACAATACTCTTTATCAATTGATAAATGTCAATACAAGGCCTTTTGTTTCTTTAAAAAAAACACAATTATTACAACAGTTACATATACTTTTTAACTCATTGTAGACTCAAATGTTTTGTTTCTATATTGTCATTGGCGACATACTGTTGTATTATTACAATATAAATATCGTAACTGCTAATCATAATATTATTATACACTTTACTTGTGATTAATTTACATGGTACTGCAGTAAACAGTTTCACCGATAGAAAAGCAAATAGTTGAAGTTTGTTGATATTTGATTTTCTTTTGATATAATTAAGTCTCATTTCGATATTCAGTTACTTTATACGTTAAACATCTTCATGTTTCATCTCATCATTTGATTTAGTGTTTTTGTTTATACTTAAAAGTAAATCGAGATAACCATTTTTAAACTTTTGAATTTATGATTCCTTGATTCAATTCTCAGTCCAAATATCAATAATAGGATGTATGGACTTCAGAATGATGAGTTTTAAACGCGTAAGAACCCACATTTCATAATCTGTAGTTGACCATTATCCAAAATATTGATATATATGTCTATTAGAAAGTAATATTAAAAATTGAGTCTGTGTTTTGAGATGAGATGATATATTCCATATTCGGTTGATTTAATGATCTGATTATGGCTCTAGTAGATTTATTTGTCATGATTATAATGGGTCACTGTAGACTGTTGAAACACATTTTAAAGCTAAACTCAAGGAATGGCTATCTACATTTTGTTGCTGAATCAATAACATTTTTATTGTCCATCATGAAATCTTCAAACTGAATAAATTAACCAAAATTTTACATTTAAAAAAAATGTTTCTGACAACGGGGTTATTAGGTTCTAAAATGATAGAAAAAGTTTTCTGTTTTTATATTCCAATACAATTGTTAAAAGAGCCAATTATAGTGATGTTATTAGGATTGTTATCAATTTCATCATTGTTCATATTAGAAACGGTCGTAGTAAAAATAATGTCACAGACATTAATACCAATCTCATAATCATCGTCTACAAATCATTATATAAACTTTCCTGTTTATTATGCATAGTTGATTTGCCTAATAATTATATTTGTTAGAAAGCTCTACATACATTAACTTAATTATACAGCAGTTATGTTCCCCACTGTTTGTTAGTATCATCATTTCATTTTTCTGGAATCAGAGCATGAAAAAATGAGATCATAAGTCATATGATATGTCCATTTAGAAAGTTATAAATTTATAGGACAACGTAAATCAAATTTATGAATGTTTATGATGAATTAGGATGTGGTTAATAATTCATTATCGAAATCACATTATATATCCGATTCCATACTTTTATAATAATAACCTGAATTAAACCACTCAAGATTGTTAGTGTTTTTAGTAAATATTCACTGAGTCATTATTATATAAAACTGTCAATTACATCACACAATGATCTGTGAAAACACTGTATTCGGCAAATGCGACCGATCATTATAACGCTAAATAGATTATGCTCTGCAATTTATTTATGTTAATGATATACATCCTCAATACATTAGAGTTGAATCTTAATAAAAAAAATGCGTTCATTGATAACGTCGAAAATAACTGCTCGACAATTCGAATCATTGAACTATATAACAATATCTACTGAACACCTCATCATATGCTGAATATTGGACGAAATATTTTTCATTATATTCGATTGTTGGTAAGACATCAAGATACATTTCGAAAATGATAATAAAACTATTCAACCATATAAATAAACAGATTTTTTTTTATAATTTTGATCATTAGTCGATTGATGTTAGATCATCATTAAAAACCAGGAAGCGCTGAAGCGAAGGTCTTGGGTTATAACCCTACGTACACGATCGTGGATGCGCAGAGCTGAGGATTCCCATAATAGCCCGAAACGGCCTAGTTTTTCAATGATGGTCTGACACCAATCAATCCATAATTTAATTAAAAACCTAACAATCTCCACATCCCCATACTGATAAAAATTATTTTAACTCTTTTCTATCTTTCATTTAAAAAAGGTCATTTCAATTATCATTCATTAGAATGAAGTATATAAACTGGGACATTGAAATGAAATTATTTTTTTCTCCTGAAACGTAGTTCATCTTATGAACTCGTATGAATTTTTTCGTATATAAACTATCGAAAATCAATGTTCACTAAAATTTACTGATTGATATATAAAAGAAAGTAATTGTTCAGTATATGGGAATGATACACTTGAAAGATTATCTGGAATTCACAAACATTGATTGGAAGGCAAAGAATACATCAGTGATGACACCATACTAGTTATAAACTGAACATAATTTCCAATAACACCTGAGCTCATTCTGTATTTTATCAAAAAGTTAGCAGTTTAAAAAATAAATCACAATAATTCATATATCATTGATGGTATTGGATGGTTGTTGAAGTTTCTATTATGATGTCGCTGAATTTGAAAATGTGAATTAGTTTATGGCAACGTAACAATCTGAAGGTGTTATGAGCGTTGTAAGACTTCATGACATCAATCGATTTTATTTGAGATCATTATGTCTACTGATAAAGTGTATTAAAATAGAATGGTATTATTTATAGAAATTTATTCTGCTGTATGGAAATAGAAGTTACGAGAAGTTGAACTGAAGGTTTCTATTTCGTTTCTTTCGGAATGTACCTTCGTTTATGTCTACACATTTGCGCATAAATAATTACCCGGCACTCAGTGTATAAAACATTTTTCAATATCCACCCTGTCTAGGTGACTGTATGTCAACTACATTCGTAAGGTCATATGTTTCATAATCTCAATGACCTTCTATGTTTCCGTAGACGAAATCCATTTATGAAGCTCGTACACAAGCAACATGAATCCATGAGCATATTTGCAAATCGATAAATATAAACATAGATCCGAGTGATAACATTTAGTGCTTGGATGATTCAAGATATTTTGAAAGATGAAAATTGAAAAATACCCAGAACAAGGGTTTCGCTTGGTCCTCATCAGCTAAATACAACCTTTATTATTTTAAAAAACCAGTAATTACGCACACAAATCAACAATACTTTTATAAATGAGATTGTTCAGAAATGGATATGTATCATCATATTGGGGAGACGATTTAAATAAAGTCAATGTGATTGAACAGATGGACAGAAAAGTTAGTGACTGCAAATAAGTGACATAATAATTTTTAAGTAACTATTTCAATTTCCACTCAACTGATTTCGATCTGAGGTCACATAAGGTATTGCATCTTTGTCGAGAATAAATTTGATGACCATATAAATCACCATGTTATATATATGTTCTGTTAGGACACTGTTGATAATAGACCGTACTAACAAGGATCAGCGATTTTATTCATGAATAAATTCGAACAAATAAAAGAGATCATACGGTTTATCTATAATTAAATAGATACCATCATTTCAGAGAATGAAATCATCATCACATTAGTTTGAAGAGTTCATTTTATGAAATAAAACCAGTCCTTGAAATCTTTTTAGCATTTATACAATCTAGAATTGTCATATTTATTTTAAAAGAGCAAGACGTTGACGTTTTTTGTTTTATCAAAGTTTTGATTAATACTGTTTAGGAAATTCGTAAAAAATATTGGTTTTAAACTACCTAAATTTTACTTGTTGGCTAAGTGTTCTAAAGATTAAGTGCTTGTTAATAGATTTTAAGGTCCTATTTTCGATACCTGATGATGTCCTGGATGCATACTGCTCAGAAGTTCTACATCAAGACTGAAAAGTTGTCCAGTGTTTTTTTGACTTTCAACTGTTGTTTAACTAAAAGGAGACCATGATGTTAAGTATAATTGATATTTATTTTACAAGGTATGGTGTTACATTTATCTCGATTTCCTTGTATTTATTTAATAGCAGTTTTCTGTATTATACACTTTTAGATTCAATTAAACAAAAGTTGGCTAAAAGGAGAGTTATCGTATATTGAACAATATGTGGCTTAAATTCCATGTAGACAAAAGGATTACTATAATTAAGAACTACGTTAAAATGTTTGTGGACTTTTGTTACTCTTCAACATTTGAAAATCACATTCTTGAATAATCAATCTACCGTGACCAATTAACTAATGGTCGTGATTCAGACCAATACACATGATAATGTTATGGATGTAATTCAGTCAGATAATAATAAAACAAAAAAAGAAATCAATACTCATCCTAATAATTCTACATTTTATGATTCTAGTCATTGTATAACAACTAACAATGTATCCAGTCAAAATTATTCTACAAATGATATAGACAATCAAATATTGATTGATAACCAAAATGAATCGAGTTCACTTAATAACAATAATGAAGAACTCTTAATTGATAAATTATATAAACGAAGACAATTGTTGTTACAACATTTATCTGTAGAACTACAGAAATATGAACAATTATGTTGGGATGAAATGGTAAGAGAAAAGTTTGGTGTTAATAGTATCATCTTTAAATGTTCATTTACTTCATAATTGTGATTGATTTTGTGATTGTTTTTATTAATTTTGTTAATTTATAGTAAAAATGTAAACAACATTATGATCATTTATGATAGAGGAATTTTTATTTACTCAATATTCGGTAGTTATGAAATATAAACTGGAAATATAATAATAATCGAATTGATTGATCTTAAATTTATTTCACTGGTTGAAATCATGAGTCAATTGAAGCTAGATCACCATGGAAAACCTGGAAGCACTGGACGGCCGTTTCATCCTAATATGGGACTCCTCAACAGTGCGCATCCACGACTCCGCACCCCGCTAGATCGTTGTTAACTAATCGTATTTCAAAGTATATTCAGTCTTTTTTAATTATTAATATTAGTTAAGTTATACAAATGAAATAGTTTAATAGGCGAAATAAGTAAATATACAATTGTTACCATCATGTATTACGTAATTCTAAATTTGTGACTTCTGAAAACAGATTGCCTTGTACAAACAAATGCATGCACTTTGAGGAATATATCTAGATAAGTCAGGAAGAAAGGATAAAAAATTTGAACAACATGAAGTAATATATTTTAGTTTCAATCTGCGATCATCAACACAACACAGGAGTATTATTATCGACTTATTGAATACTAAGGTTTCATCTCATCAATTTTACGATAAGATATTCCGCCGAAGCAAATATTTCGATTGCGTTATTGACATATTCCGTTCAATTAAACTCTTCAAAGTTTGGTTTACAAGTTATAAAAGACTTGCATAGTTCAGTTTATATTTCTAGAAAAATCTTCTTGACAGTATACCTCTATCCGTCTTAACTAGCTGTCAGTCAGTAACCACGTAGAACTTCGTACGTACGTACATCAGTTTGAATTGCCATACCACATTAACACTGAGATACAATTGTCGATTCAAATCGTGTGGTTTCAGCAGACTAGGAATAACGTTCCGCATATTCGGATCGTCTGCCTTAGTGATGCGAGGTGATAAATGGAAGCGAGAAGAGTTAGTCATGGAGATAAGAGAGGTGTTAGGAGGTGTTAAAAGGATTTGAATGTGACAAACTTGGTCTCTTGTGCTGTTGCAGGTATGAGGGCCGATATCACTTCCCGGCTGCCCACACCGTGGACGGGTATTTCTTGAGGAACCTGAAAAGGAAATTGGATTAGTGTTGGTCTTCACGACTTGGGAGCGCGACTTCAGAGCCCAAGGGACAACTACTTGAGGCCGGTCGCGCACGTCATTTTTTGGGATGTTTTTAACGTGTTAGCGCCGTTCTTCAAAATGCCCTACCACTGGAGACGGAAATCCGTGAGGTAAGGTGAGGCGTGACATTTTTAGGGCCGACCTTTTCTAACACATTCCTTCATTATGAGAAGGCAGAACTGCTGCAGATGCTGGTTGTCCGAGGGAAACACCTTACTGCTGCCATACCCCTCTACAGTCAGCAGTACGACTTCGCCCTCAGATCTTGAGTTGCTGCTTTTAGTCTTACTGTTCTCCTACCGATCTGCCTGGCATGGTAGAACCTACAGGAACATATGTTCCAGCCCATATAGCTCGGTTGGGTCATCACGATAGGCAAGCCCGACCAACACATCAAGGTAGCAGCTACGTACAGATAACTAGCTGTAATTTAATTTAATTATCCCAGAAATAAGAAATCTCAAAGATGAATTTATTCCGAGTTATTCATTTTCGCAGGCCTCAAGAACTCTAATTACACGTTATTGCTTGTGAATTCAATATATATATATATATATATACACTTTTTAGCAGTCGAATTCATGAGTAGACTTAAGCTAAACTACCATTAGAAATCTGGAATTAATGGATGGCCATTTCATCTGAGTATGGGACTCCTCAGCAGTGTGCATCCTTGATTCCACAGGTAACGACTCGGATGCGAGAATTTAGGCAAAACCGCTGTTCAGTGCTTTCAGATTTTTAATGATGGACTAGCTTAGATTGACTCATGAATTCAACTTACAAAAAATCTTTATATTTAAATAAAGTAAGTCAGAAGGTGAATTTATAGAATTTTTAATAAATTTACTTCACTTCCAATTGAAAAATAATTGACAATTTGTATACACAAATCAATTACTTTGATCACATGTTTAAAAATCAATGAACAGCTGTTAATTGGGAACTAATTGTTCTATAATGAGGTAATAAATAGTATAAACATTCAAGTGTTTTTTATCGGATTAAGTACTCTTTTTATGTTGTATGTTGTTTAACGAATTACTTGTTGCTAATGAATTAAGTTGAGTCTTTTTGGTGGAGTTTTGTTCTCCACCATCTCATAAGTTGAGTCTTTTATTAATTAAACCAAAGATAAAAACAAATTTCAACTAATAGTTTTTTATAACTGATTAGAAATTATATAGAATTATGAGGTATTTAAGGATGGAACTTATTTCAAATACAGAAATACTTATACAAAGGAAAAAACATATAGATTAAAGGTAATATAAATTCGTGTCAATAATAAAATGTACTTAAATAATGATAATTAATGATCAAAAACTTGCAATATAAAGGTTCACTATATAAAAGAAATAATAACATTTTTTGAGTAATATAATACCATGAAATGAATACATAAATGATCTTATTTTAGTGACTAATTATTCTTGAAATATTCTACATTCCTATGTTGTTACCTATGAATGGGATTTTCATTTAAATGTTCTATTAGAGTACTGTGAAGTTAAAGGATGTATTTGATTTCACTCTTTATTTTTTTCTAGTGTATCTTGGTAATAAACTTAAAATTTTATTGAAAATTACATAACATCTAAATTCACTTGGTTTTGTTTTACTTGTATTTTCCCATTGTTATTTAGAATTGCAATTGATCAGTTTCATGTGTAAGTAAAACAAGTCAAACACGTAAGACAACACCAAGTGAATTTAAGGTTCACTCCATTGTACAAGGAGGTGGTTATCAGGACTCAGTAGCTAAGTGGATAACGCAATGGCGTTTGAAGCGAACGGTACTGTGTTCGAGTCCTGGAGTGAAGATCAATTCTGGGATGCAGGTACGTCCGGCTGACGAGTCCTAAATAGGACGAAACGCACGTCCTGCATTTCATTGCTAGCCACTATGCATCTTTACACAACATCTGTTTTCCAATAAATTTTCTTGAAAAAGAATATGCCATTTTGTAGTGAATTAACACGACTGAGTAAAATGCACAGTCACATAATGGTTTAGTAAAATGTGAAAATCACACATCAAATACATCATTTGCATATCATCTTTGAATTGTCTTTTGCAAGTTACATTGTTTTTGTTTTTTTCATAACGGTTGTCATCTTGACTGTTTTCGGTTTCCTTCTCTCTCTGCATTTCATTTCAATCTTCTGAAACATTCTGCTCATAGACAATCCACTTCCAACTAGTGTTACATACAACTTATATCTGCAAACATAAATAGCATATACTACAATTTATCTATGTATTGCTTCTACACTATTACTCGTGTAATTAACCTCATTATTACATATACATGAGTAACCTTTTGAGATAAATTCACAGAACAACTATAGTTCAATTGATACCACAACTATTTTTTTCCTGCTTTATAAATAAACTTTACATTTGATCATATTCGATATCATTAATTAAAATGAATTACAGAAACGATGTAATTTATAAACATCAGTCTATTATCCCTATCTTTCAATGTAATACTTACTGTGTTTAAAAGGAAAACTGAACATACATTGATAATATCAGAATTGACATTTAAAATTATGAAATTATTCTATTTTGAATAATTGAGAAGGAAATAAACAGTAAAACTAAAGACATGAGTTAAATTTAACTTTTTTGTATGTAAAACGAAGACGATCTATGTGGTTTATTAATGAAAATTGCAGATAATTCTGTATGGTTTATGTTTAATTTAGCCGAGTTCTTTTTTGTTCTTTTTTACAACATTTAGGTTATATTAAACAAGAAAAGTTAATTAGTGTTAGGAAATGCCCTAAACATTTTCATGACCAGTTTTATGCTTATTGATCAAATGTTATGAAATTATGTTTGAATGTTTAAGGAAGTGTCTTTAAATGAGAAAAAAGTAACTTAGAAATTGAAAACATTATAAAAGTAAAAGGTAGTTTGGTTAGCAAAGATAAGATTAAGTTGATTTCAGTATTTATTTGACAAAATGCCTTTACTTAACATAGACTGAATGAAGTTAGGCATGAATAGGAATCTAATTGAGTGACATAATGTAAATTTATATATTTATGCTACAGTGGAATATATTATATTATAGTCACTTCAGCTTAGAGCACATATTTAATCTATTAAACCGGTTGCCATGTTCGTTCTACTAAATTGAATTTATTTTACTATAATTGATGTGCATTAGTGTACAGTACAAAGTATGGGTATTGTATCATTTAAAAGTGAGTAAGAGTATTTTCAGGTATTAAAAAGAATGATATAATTGATCAAAATATAATCGGAAACAGTCTCGCCAATATTCTAAGGACTTCATTATTATCGTCTTTTAAGATAAAAGTAAAATGTGAGGTTGAACAAATCAGGTTTAATTTGTTGGAGATCCTAGTGTTCATAAATATTTGATCTATATTCCCTTAGAGACAATTTATCTAACCTTATATATAACTTTAAAAGCCTCTTCTAGAAGACTGTAATTATTATTTCAAAATTTATTTTTCATCTTATTGGACTTTATTTTAAAAATTCATATCAGGTAATTCTCAGAAATGAGCTTATCAAACTAATATTCGTTCGAAATTTTATGTAATTATAGCATTGACCATCAAGCTATGGGTTACAAATTTATGTTTGAATGTTAGAGGTATTATACACATATTCATGCTTAATTCACTGAAGTAAGAGATAAACTTGTTATCAAATATTTAGAAATCGTATTAGAACAACTACACTTGTGCTCTGAATCAATAAAACCTTTTTGAGCATCCAAGCAGAAGCATAGAAACTGCTTTATTTTCATCATTACTTCAATAATAAGGAATAACTAATGCTCATAATTAATGACTTGAACAAATTCAATTTCTGTCAATTTGAAGTATTTCAATTATATTAAGTACTTTAAATAACAGTAACATCCATACTTTGTTAGAAATTTTATTGAGTAAATTCAATGCTTCTTAAAGTCTACTCTTTGACTGTACTTTGTCTCCATGATGTCACGATAGTTAAAAGGTAATAACGATACTATGTTTTATATTATTACCAGTTGTACATGTATATTTTCGCTAGTTAACTAAATACATACATATATGAAAGCTTGCGTGATGAGCCAATCACAAAATGGCATAATGAGAAGGTCAATCGATGGTAATCAGAAGTACCCTAAAGGACAAGTGCATTTCATTGGCTAAGAAATGGTCAATTTCTTAAAGATAGAGTGATATATATATATGAATGAGTATTAGTGCATTTTATTCCGTTGCCAAGTACATTTACCCACTCACTATTTTGTTCTCGCTCACGTAGTCAGTTGGGGGGGAGGTGATTAGTGCGTTGTACACCGTGTATCAGTATTAGAATTTGGGCACTGCCTGTCGCAACAAAATCATAAAACAAATGCCCAATAACGACTTATTTTTCGTAAAACAGGAAAATGATTTAATCATTTTTTTTATTTAACTAAAATTGTAAAAAAATTTTTAATAAAAATGGTGATCGTAAATTTTGGTTGAAATCAACTTCTAAAATAAATGTGATACACTGATTAATGATGATGATGATGATGATGATCAAAGATAATACATATAAGTAATAACTATTGTATGACAAGCATCTGTTTAAATCTTATCAAAAATGGCTAGTCCATAATTCACATTACTGTTTTGTTTTTAAGATTACTGGTTATAATTTTACAAGATGAACATTTTGCGTAATCCTTGTTTTCGTTGTTCTTATCATTTGTCATTATAATAATAACAACAAAATATGTGATGTAATCACCAAATTATTGTTTGTGCAAAGCAAGTAATGTACATGAAACATAAGGTTTTAATTAAAAGAAGGTATTATCTTCATAAAAATTGGATTTTTTCCCTAAAGCTTTGTATCTTTCATTTGGTAATTTCCAAGACTACAATTAATCTGTCTATTTTTGACATATATAGATTCCCAATCAATTGCTTCTTTATTGCCATATGGTTATAGGTTTTTAGTAAATTGAATAGTGACTAACATTTTGTCTAATTCAGGACTAGCCAACTGGATCCAACTGCACTCCAGTCTTTATGTTCTTATCGTGACTCAAACATAGTAGCGTTTATTTCAGATAATAAAGTTCTATCTACTAAGCTACTGATTCAAGGTAAATATCAGCTTATCGAACAATATGATATTCAGATGATGATTACCTGAAATTTGAGTGATCTCATTGTTATTATTCGTGACTGAATTTAGATCACTTATTGTTCATGTATCCTCGTCATTTAAAGAACACTTTGAAATAGTCATTGTCATAAATTAATACTCGTTTTCTTTAATTATCATACAGTTCTATATAAATAAGAAATGTTCACTTGAATTTATGAGCTTGAATGCTTATCTTTCTAAATAAAGGAAGACTAAGATTTTAGAAATTAAATGAATCTATTTAATTTTGAAATCTCTCATAAATTTCAAACAGCTTTATGTTCCAGTTAGTAATATTATTGAAATAAGACATTGTTACCTGTAAACTATTTATGTCTTCAATGCTTTTGAAACTAGTTTTAAATTATAAGTTACTTATACATTTATTCTCATTTAGTGTTTACGAAACTGACTTCAGTGTAGATTTTATGTTCTAAATTTCATGAAAACAAAGCTAATAAAAGATAATACAATAAACTGTATGATATCGGACATTCTTATATTTCACTTACAAAAATGTCTAGACATATTTATGTTATGTCCTGATGACCGATTGATTATATCACGTGATACAACCACCAGTTAGAGACATCAATTTATACGACCACATTAACGACGCATAAATCTGTATGAGCAGCCATGAGTTTTCTTTGGTTCACCTAGATAATAACTAATCAATTAACGCATCAAGTTTAGTCCAGAACGTTAATACTAGCCTCCGCGATACAAATCATATATTGTAGATAAGATCAATCCAAGAAGAGTCAGTGATTGTGAGAGACTTTTACTAGTAAATTGGGAATATCTTATGAATAGTCATTAGTTTAAATGGAAGCTTATAATAATGGTAATATACATATAATATAGTCAATTAATGGTTATACACTGAAATTGGACGTATAATATTAGTTCATAATTAATTCGTAGCGGTTATTATTCCCTTATTCTCCATCCGGATATAACAATTTGACATTAGTTATTATTCGTCAATTAGTTAGTATAAACATACCACGTCTACTGAAGATCAACGGCAGTTCAGATGACTCTCAGTAGTTATGTCATTAACTATGGCACGAAGTGACATGAATTTAAAACTAACAAGAAATATTAGTTTTAAAAAAAAATTGTAAATACACTTTGCTGATGAGTTGAAACCAGTACAATTTAGTTTTAAAACTGGTTATATAAAACATTTCCGTGAGATATAATGAAAAATTCCCAATTTCCGAAGTAAACGATTTTCAGAAATAAATACTCGTTGAAAACATTGAAACATGAACTACTAGTGGATACGTTCTTTATATGTTTTTTATTGAAAATGTTAAATCTTTGTTATTAATTATAATGAATTCAACTGATGATTTTGATCAGTATTAGGATAAAAGTGACTTTTCAAGACTTTTAATAAGAATAGTAGTAGCTGACCATAGATTTTAAGATGATATTATCTTTCTAAATGAAATAGATTTCTATAATGAAATTTGTTTAGTAAGTAGCAAATTTAAAGAAAACAATTATTTCAGCCATTTTAATGACAGTACAAAAATTAAAGCAAAGGTAATATTTAACTCATTACTTCATTTTTAGGTAGTTATTGGGCAGTCCTTAAGTATATTGGTGTAACAGAGAGACGCCTCATCTTGTCAGTGTTATTACTAGAAAACTGGGTAGGTGGAACGAAGGATCGATTGACGGCTGTTGAAAATTCTTTATTTCAAACCGATGACATATATCAACTACAGATCAAAAAGGCGTGTGAGCCTACTTTATCTCACCAGCTTCCATAGAATTGTATCTATTTAAGGTGCTCCTTGACATTTGGCTCATACGTCTAAGTAAAAGGCTGTGCAAGTGGTCATTTAAGGAATGCCCTAACTCACAAATTTTTGTTAAGCATATCTTATTTTTAGAGCCCAGTTTAACCTAGTTTGACGTGAATGAAATGAAATTAAATTAGTAAATTTGGAACTGTCTTAACAAGCAATTTTTAATGTAAAGCAATTTTTCCCAATAAATTGTTAGTGCAGTCAGTACGTTAAAAATATAAAATATAAACTTGCCTTTTGATTGACTTCAAATGACTCAGTCACATTCTGTTGATCGGCTGAACAGGAATAGTTTTCAAGGCGAAATGCTTTCATTGGTATTGAATACATACAAAAATAGAGTTATTATTTTTATTAGACTATTTATTGCGTTTTTATATATTTTTTAATTTAGGCGATTACTGGAACCGTTCCACATGAATCAAATTTTCTCTCCGATCATTTCAATATTCGATGTAATAGTGAAACAAGAAATCCAATAATATCTACTCCAAGTAAATTGTTAGATCCTCCAAATAGTTCTTCAGCTGCAAATAGATCCAGAGGTATAGCAGCACGGTTGAAATTTCGTAATTCACGTAGATCAAAGAGTGCTCATGATAGAATTCCTGAAGTAAGTTCAGTGTTACTGATTATTAAATTTATATTCATTTGTCCTTTTAGTTTATCTGCTACGTAGAAAATATTTTGTTACATATATATGGTTGTGGACATTGATAAGTTTTAATCAAGATCACGGACCGACCAATATTAGACCACTATTAAAATCATATAAACACTGTAGGGAAACAGAACAATAAGAAAGCATCAAGTCAAGAATGAAGGGTTATTCTTGAGTGTTATGTGAAACAACTAAATAAAGAGCTTCCAATGGATAGAATTAATGACAAAATCACCAGGGAAGTTGTCATCGACTGCAGTAATGAGTTCATTTGAAATGCCCTAATACATGATATTATAAAACCAACGGAGAGAGGATGGAAATAAACATTTTTTCAAGATCTCGAAATATTAAAATAGTCGCCAGACTCATCAACTGGAAATGTGAATAACCAGAAATAATAAACGGAGTCTATGTGCATTAAGAACGAACAGTGCTTCATGACTGGAATTACCGTTGTAGTGAATCCCTCAATGAGATGCGCATGAATTCTGAGCTCGATTGGCTTCTAACTAGCTGCGATTGCTCAATTAAAAGTATTGATCAAACCAATCAATAATTTCAAACCAAAAGTCTTTTCCGTCTTATGTGTTGCTAATTTTGGTATGCACCTTCCTCCTCTAAGTATTGTCCCCAACCGCTTTCAATAATCCCCACGGTAGAAAAATTAGCCTTTTCTTTTAAGATAATTTTAAAGCAAGAAAAAGCCGACAATTCCAAAGGAGTATGGTAATATTTCAACACAGAAGCAGTAATTTAGCAGGAACACTGAAGTAAACAATATAAAACGTAATATGAAATTACAACAGGATACAAGTTAACTTATTCTACCTCACTTTGAAATTTGTAACAAATTAAACAGAACATAATATATGGTCATACGCCAGTTTTAGACGATTATAATGAACTATCATAGATAACCGAGAATCGTCTTCGGTGTCTTTTATTTCACACATTGATTTTGTTAAGACTCTGGTATCATTTTATTCATCAACATTTTATTTCCACATTTCCATTCATAAATCAGCAATTCGGTAAAGTATGTATTCTGTTGTTACTGTTATATGTGAGGTATTCACATTTTTTCACGACTTTTGACCGATTTCTCCTGATGAGAAAATATATGAAGAGTTCCACAATCTAATTTATGTTACTACAAAAAATTCTCTAACCAAATTTTTTTTGATTAATTAATTAAACTAAATATCAAATTTATTTAGATCTTAGTATAGTAGATAACTTTAGAGTTATGCTAACATTTGATTTACTAATGTTGGACATTATGTGAATAATTAAAATTATGTGTAATGATAATAATTAGTTAAGTTCATTCCTGTCACCTATTCTGAATGGATAAAACACCATCCAATTGATTATGAAAATAAGAATGTGATCGAGCAAACAATGGTCCTTTTTTGTGACGATTTCATTTTCAAAACTGTACAATCGAACACACATTTTTTACAAAACTTGTTTATGATATTTACTGGTCAAGAGTAGTGAAATATGTTGAGTAGTTAATGGTACGTAAAAACGGTTACTCTTTTCAAAACGTTTAGACGAAAATAAGTTGAATAATGTTAAGAAAAAATGGATAGTAGGTAGCAGTGGAATTCAGGACGCGCGTCCCGTCCTATTTGAGACTCATCATCCCATAGTTGATGTGACCAGTTGCAGTCCTAAACAACGATGGAAAGATACAATCAGGTGGCTATCAGGACTCATTAGCTAATTGGATAATGCTATGGGTTCGAGTCCCGGAGTGAACATCAATTCTGCAATGCAGGTACATCCAGCTGACAAGTCCCAAATAAAACGAAACGCTCATCCCGGATTCCGCTGTTCACCAATATCCATTTTTTCCTAAAAATCTTGTGACTTAAGGCAACATTGATTCGATCCACACAAGATGCATACATGCCAACAGGAGAGTGATCAACCGAATTCCTAAATAACGGGAAGATACAAGCAAACATCACCTAGTGAATTCATAAGCTAAGTATGTTTCTAAAACTAGGTAGATAATAAGTATTCTGACACTAGGCGGTATAACGTAACAAGATAAATTTTCAAAAAAGGAAAAAACAATCCGGCAGAGCATAGTGATAAGAGAAATTCTGTTTACATTAAGAATTTTAAAAAAATATTAATAGAGTACAAATAAATATTACTACTAAGATATTAAATAGGTAAAGAAAAACTTAAAGTCGAGATTCGCATAGAAATAACTAGTTGAACGATTTTGTTTTGCACATAAATTGAATTTCTCGAGTTGAAACTCGAGACCTTCAGCATTACAGAGGAGAAGAAAAAACGTATTATTTATTTCTTTTCTCAGTTTAGTCAACAAAAGTTATCTGTATTTATTTTATTATGATCATATGGATAATGATAAGAGATTCTATTGACTTCCATCATATATCACAGACTGAAATCATGAGTCAATTAAAGCTAGACCACCATGAAAAACCTGGAAGCACTGGACGGCCGTTTCGTGCGGGATCGTGGATGCGCACTGCTGAGGAGTCCCATACTAGGACGAAACGACCGTTCAGTGCTTCCAGGTTTTCCATGGTGGTTTATCTCCAGTTAACTAATGATTTCAATCTGTGAAATTTCTAAAATCTCCATAAACCCCTTCTGATAATTCCATCATATATGTTAAGAAAATCTGCAAGATTTTTTATACCTCTTCATAGAGTTTTATATTACTTATTAATTTGATAGTATTATTTTCAATAAAGCAGTTTCTTAAAATACCTAGGCCTTGATATAAAAATTTATTTAATTTTATTAGACGTTATCAATTAATAAGTTACATAATGTAATCCTACTTTACCTACTTTCATCCAAACAGTCAGATTTCATCATTAGCTTGGATGTTTAATATTGTAACTTGATATCATACACACAGAACATCATTTTGTCAGTGCATTATCGAAAATCATGGTAATTTGAAACCACTCTTGATATGAATGAATATTCATGTTTAATACATAGAAAATACAAGCCATCTTCTCCATGATGACCACATAGAACAACGTAAATAAAATGCGTCATAAACGTTTAGTTTTATTTTTACCAAACCGATGAATAACAAAAAGTTCAATTTGTCTTATTAAGTCAACCAATCTTTACCTACATATACTTCTCACTTAAATGTATCAAACCGGAATATTATAGTAGTCTTTCCGGTAACAAGATAGATTTCCTAAATGTTGGAACTTTTTATTATGTTAATAAAATAGTTATTTACAAGTCAACTAACTGTTAAAACACAATACATATTTGAACATATAAACTAGTTTAGTGTAAAACACTCATTAGTCAACAACAAGGAATGTAGAATACTTTGAAAATGTCTATCATTTATTATTACACAATTGATCTTAAAATGTTATCATAGTTCTTAGTGTTTCCTTTCTTCAAACAGTATCTAAATAATTTTTGTATTTTTCTTGACAGATTTGGAGGGAGATTTAAATATTGTTTTCCTCTTTGAAAGCAAACAATATTTTTTTCTTCAGTTTGTTATTGTAAACAATACTGTAATTAATTCACAAGAATTCATTCATATTATTTAGACACGATATATAAATCATAGTAAAGACTGATTACCCTATAGTTTAAGCTTAAACGTAAAATAACCAATTGAGAAAATCTCTCAGAAAGATCATCTTCGGTAGAATAACACCTTTCAAACAATTTGTACACTGTACCACTTTCCACCTAAATTATAATCTTTAAGTTACTCTATTTCTTTATTATAAGCAACTTTATTATTGTTTGATGACTGTGGGTGATCGAAAAGAGATTTCATATTTAGATTTCTTGCTAGCTGGAACATGTTAGGATGATGCATTAGCGGTTTAGGAAGAAATAAATCCTTTAATTTAATTAGTACTCATTGTACCAAAGTTCCATATTCATGAATAATACTGTTGACTTTCTTGAACATAATAATATGTATCCTACACCTAGCTTATATATATATGTCGAGTATGTTTAGTTAATTAATTTGTAACATACAGTCCTGCGAAATGTCTTATCAGTTTAGGAAAGAAAGTTTTACATATTTTTATGAATCTAATAAGCCCAATTTAAAATTTGGATATTACTTACTTACTTTTGTCTGTTACTCCTCATGGAGGATCAAACACCGTTCTCCAGCATTCTCTATGGAACTCTGCTCTGGACTATCCTTTCCATTTGTTTCTAGTTACTATACATCCTTTTGATGTCTGCTTTATATTTTCAGTGCAAAATGTTCTTTGATCTTCCTCTTTTTCTTTTATCCCTCCAGGATTTTAAGTTAACGATTGTATTATTACAAAGTTTGGTGATTTCAATACGTACGTTCTGACCACCTCCAACATTTTTACCTAATTTCCTCTTTAGAGTTTTAGGAAAAGATGCTGGAGATGAATGGGATATATACATATAGGATATATTAAATAGCGACTTAAAATTCTATTGCTTTGTAAATATATAAATAAAAAGCATACTGCCTCATAATTTCTTTCCATTTTAACTCTATGTTTTATTAAATAATCTGAATTCCGATTGCCTCATCTATTTCAATATATCCCCTAGGTATTTTGTCAATCTATCTGATTAATTAGGTTATGTAAGAGTATGTGATTCATAACAGCAGCTGGATATAGACTAGTTACAAGTTAGTAAGATCAAATTACAATTAAGAAGCAGATGTTCAAATTGTAGTAAATAAACAAAACCGAACCGTCTAGACAAGTGTTTATTTAATGTTTTTCTTTAAAATAAAATTTAACCGGCAGAAACAGACCATAATTTCAATAAGACTTTTAGTCGTTTCTCTAAAATACTTTACTTTTAAGAAAATAAAGATCTAATCCATCTGTCGTTGTGCTTTAAAAACGATATGTCAATATACATATTTCTTCTACGCAGTTATTAGTCACATTTTCAGGACTTGAAATTATATCGTAGTGTGGTATGTCCTAGGAATTTCTATCAGATGAATTATATAATTGAACAGACCAAGATCAACAAAGCTTGCCGAATAAAATAATTTTGTTCTATTTCATAGTTTCTCGTCAGTTGTATACAATCTAAAATTACAATTATTAGTATAAATTTAATTATTAATAAACGTTTAACACATTTTAGTTTGTGAAGTTTACGGCTAAAAAGTAGTAAATTGTTTACATGTGTAATTGCCAGACATCTTTTGGTTAGTGGACATGAAATGAATATAGGTGATGCATTCAAAATAATCAATAGACAAATGTATACTAATCTTCGATTTTTCCAACTTGACCTATGTATACAGAAGGAAAGTTTTTTTAATACATTATGCAACGGTTCTATGAAATTGCTGGTCACACCACTCTTTGTATTTACTAGATCTAACTTGAAATAAATTGCCGTATTTATCTATGTATTAATAGACTATCTCATTCAACTTCATAAATCAGTGCATTACAAACTTTATATGATTGAATTTTCCTTTCAATGAAACTTTTTATTCACGTCAAGTTTAAATACATTTCAGCACTTACTCTACGTCTTCTTAAATGTCACCAAAATTTATTAATTGTGAATTACGATTGACTGACGATGTGTTCCGTTACCAATAATCTCAAAAATTACATTTCAAATCGAACATTTTTTGATTACTAAAATTTATAAACCCATGATTTCTATTTATTTAGCGTTAGTTAATTGAAATTAATGCTTATGAATTAAGGCTCTATCGAAGCAATATACACAGTATGCACATATGCCGATAGGAGACTAATAAATTGCAGTCTTAAACATCAATGCGAAGATTCAAACAAACACTACGAAGTGAATTTAAAGTTACAATTGTTTTAATCTGTAGTTATGTTAATAATATGATCTTCAGGCTAACATTAACCAACCAATATCACTATTTAAGCTTTCATTTAACATGTCGATCATTCTTTTTTCATCCAACCAAATGTATTTCATTGATATGGCTTTTTTTCAGTCTCCTCAAAGATCATTTCATGTGAGAAACAAAACTGATTTATCACCTACTAGAAATTCACTTACAGATAATCTAATAGATGATAATTCAGAATCAAAAAAATCATGGAAATGGTGGCGCTTAAATAAAGATACTGAATTATTTAATAACGTACGTCGACGACAATCAATAGGACTGATTGCAGAACAATATTTACGATATTTTACAAATGACAAAAATGGACATTCACGTGGTGGTAGTCTACCACCGACTGATAATAACATTAATAATAATATTTCTAAAAATGAAGAAAAAATACCATCGGAAAATCAAAAAATCAATGTTAGAAAATCACTCCAACAAGAAGATATTTTAAATATCCTAAATAATCATCATCAAAGCAATGGTGAATGTAGTCATGTTAAAACAGATCCAGCAACTCCTGATGGTCATCTGATTTTTTATCATAAATCTTTTCATCAGGATCAAATGAAGCAACAAAAACAACAACAACAGCGACCTCATTATCAATTAAACGGAAATTTCGCTCATCATGAGTCATGCATTCTAATGCCAAGATATGTACCTGCAAATGACTTACAACGAATAAATTGTAGTCATCAAAGAATTCGTCATTTTAGTGGACATCAGATAAATGAAGTAAGTAAATATCATATAAAAGATTCATGCTGCATGTATATTAACTGTAATCATGGTGTATTTTTTTGAGAGAAACTCTTCAAAGAATTACGTTGTCAGGTCACTACGTCTGTTTAAAATAAATATTTACATAAGTCAAGACTATAATTCTTTCTTTTACCGGTAAATAAAAAAAGTAGATACATATTAAGTAATTCCTTTCTAATCATTGTAAAACAGAATGGAAATTTGTGGAGATTGTTGCAATTTTAATACTTAAATTCGTGAAGCGATCTGAGGTAGACCAGCACTGAACGGCTGTGAAGTCCGATCCGTGTCGAATGTGAAAAAGTTATCTACCTTAGATGAAGGAGTGCGTAAGATCATGGATCAATCGGAATTAGATATGAACACTGTTGGATGCCAACTCAGTGGTTGAGAGACCGAAGGTCCTGGTTTCAAGTCTTTCTTGACGGATTGTGGATGCATACTGCTGAGAAGTCCCACAATAGGATGAAATGGCCGTTCAGTGCTTCCACGTTCTCATTGGTGGTCTAGCTTATATGAACTAATGGATCCAACCATCATAAAACAATTTATTTCATTTCTCCCTGGTTCAAGGTGTCAGGGTTTACTATATAAACAGAAATTTGAAGAAGAACATAACTGGACAACTACTTAGTTGTATCCTCTGTGTTACAGGTAGTATTCTTCTACATATAAAAAATTCCAATTACCTTGGTATATTAAAATAATACCAAGGGCTTTACAACCTAATAGTGATTAACTGAATTGGAAATGTAACAGCAAACTATGCCAAACTATATTGAATAATATAAGGTGTAACTAAGTCAACTCTGTGAAAAAAACCCAATTTGGTCCTAAATTGTTTGAAATGTACTTCAGCATAAAAAAACATTTCTAGTAATGACTTACTGGGTGTATAGACTTATTGATTCTTCAGCCGAAACCAGTTCTTGATGAACCACTTTTAAAATAGACAAAGTCGATTAATATAACATACTTGAAAGTAATCGAGAGAAAACTATAAATTTAAGTTTTATGATAATTTGCAACTGGTCAGAAATGTTAAGGGAACTAAATTTTGAAACAATGTGTACGTGTTTTCGAGTCACTTAAACTTCTAGCCACATCGTAACTTTGCCGACAAGATTTGATCGACATTAAGGTGATGGACACATGTAAGATTTTTCACTACTCCGTGATCAATCAGATTGCAGTGAATTGTGTCAAATATGATACAAAGTACTTGATCTTTAAAGCTTTAATTGTTTTACTTCATCTAATTTTGAATGATCGTTTATTGTGATAAACTTGTTTCATTTTACTACATGGAACATAGATATAGTTTGCATTTTAATTTTAACAATCGCGATCACATTGGGATACAAAGTTAACAATCATTCTCCATTCATTATGATACATTTTACTGTCAAGGATGAGTAATACATTTGATCATATAAGTTGTAAATGATATTTCAACGGTAAATTATAATTCCGGCATAGCTACTGTCTTTACCTGGATCCTATTTTGATAAATTTAAAAAAGTCATTTAATAAATGTTAAAAAAATAAATAGCCATCTTAGCATAAAACTAATGCAGATAGAACAAATCGTCTTGTTTTTCTTTTAAGCAAAATGAGATAAAAAATATAACAAGGAAACATATGTTGAACAAATTTCACAGAATTGATTAGTTTTATTTCGTTTTTCTCGGGTTTGCATTTCTTTCAAAAAAAAAGATGTGCAAACTATTCACGCTTTGTAAATTAAACCAATCAAAAAACATGAGCGATTTTAGGATTCATTCAATTCAATTTTATATTCTGGTTGATTCGTTGAAAAAAACCATCATGGAATTTCAATTTTGTTATTTATCTATTTATTTATTTGAACACATAAATATTGGTACAAGGGGGCACCAAATATATATGCGCCACACAAAACAATGAGAATGGGAAGAGAAAAAAGAAGGTACAAAAGAAAGAACAATAACGACCACAAATTAGTGTAAGATAGTGTAGTAATAATAATAATGGGGAAACGGAAAGGTACAACCAGAAGAATTCTTCCAGTTAAGGAAGATACAACCACCATGTCATATACTGACCAGCTCTCCGCTTTTTCCAACAAGTCCCAGAGTCGGCAAATAATGCACGACGTGGAATTCTCTGGGACGACATTCGTAGAACATGTCCAAGCCACCGAAGTCGGTGTTTCAAGATGGTGACACCGATTGCATTATCGTCTCTGTGCCCGAACACACGATGCCGAACCTCTGCATTACTAACATGGTGTTGCCACTGGATGTCAGTGATCCTTCGGAGACGACGATGATCGAACACAGAGTCGTCTACCAAACTCAACTCGGAGAGGCCAGGTTTCACAAGCATAGAGCAAAACTGCTCTCACCGACGCGTTGTAGATCCGACCTTTTACAGCCAGACTGACATCACGAAGGCGCCAAAGATGGCCCAGATTGGCATAAGCCGCCCTGGCTTTCACTATACGAGCATTGATCTCATCACTCACGCCACTACCAGCACTTATGCAGCTACCCAGATACACGAACTTCTCGACTACGTCTATCTGCTCACCATCCAGGGTGAGTACAGGATTGGAATCCTGCCAGTCTTGTAGAAGTACTTTGCACTTCGAAGGTACAAAGCACATACCATACCTACGGACACTGATTGCCAACTGATTAAGTGCGGATTGCATGCCTTGGACATTATCGCACAGTAAGACAATATCATCCGCATACTCAAGGTCGAGAAGTCTTTCTCCAAGCAACAGATCCATACCGCCAATAATGACATCTATCAGGGTTGTTTCCAGAATGTCATCGATGGCAAAGTTGAAGAGGAATGGTGAGATTGGGTAACCCTGCCCAACCCCACTGCTCGAATGGAACAATGGAGAGAGGTGGTTGTATGCCCTCACTCTGCCTGAGGTGTTTGTGTTTAGGGCTTTAAGAATGTTAATAAACTTCTCAGGCACACCCTTCTTCAATAGACAATCCCAGAGAACAGTCCTATCCAACGAATCGAAGGCAGCCCTTATGTCAAGAAACACTACGATTGTTGGCCTGTGATAAGTGTGACGATGTGTTAACATTTGGCGGAGGGTGAAGATCTGATCAATACATCCTCGACCAGAACGAAATCCTGCTTGCTTCTCGCGAGTCCATCTTTCTCGGGTTTTGAACAACCTACGAAGAATGACGGAAGCCAATAGCTTGGACGCAATCGGAAGTAGACTTATCCCCCGATAGTTGTTGCAGGAACGACGTGAACCGTTTTTAAAGACAGGGACAACTGTCGACTCATTCCATGACATTGGTACACTTTCTAGTTCCCACACCTTTGTAGATAACATAGTCAATTCCTTAGTCAGAAAGTCACCACCATATTTAAAAAGAGCCGGAGGTAAGTCATCTGAGCCAGGTGATTTGTAGCGTTTCAAGAGTTGGAGTTCCTTGCGGACTTCCTCCTCGTTTGATAGATCAGTCGTCACCAGCCATGGAGGGCAGGACAGTCTGACCGATGTTGCCGGAGCAGCAGGCCAGTTGAACTGCCCTTCAAAAAATTCTGCCCATTGTTCAAGATGTCGATGGATGTTGGTGATTGACATCCCGTCATCCTCGTAGATTGCTTCGTTCACACCATACTTCTTGCTGCCAGTGGCTCGGATGAGTTGGAAGAGCTTCCGTTAATTACCAGATGCAGCTGCTGCTTCCAGCTCATTAGCACGCTCCGACCACTAGTCTTCTCGGTTCTTACGCAAGCCTTGCCCAATTTCAGTACGTAACATTCTTCGTTTGTGGTCAAACTCACGGTCACCCGGAGTACACCGGCGGGATTCAATGGATTATAAGGAGCCTGAAGAAACCTAGTGCTTGTAAGCGGGACGTTTGGCGAAGCGGCAAGCGGCTCTACTCGCCATTTCGATGGCGTCGTGAAGTTGCAACTAATGCTCATCTATACTTTTCAGTGGAATGGTAGCTAGCCTAGAAGCTATCTCCGTTCGATACTTAGTTGCAACCAACTTGCTGACATCTATGGCACTCACTTCGTTGGCCACTGGAAAGTAAGGTAAGATTAGCGCAGACCAGGGCATGATCAGAGTCCAGTTTGGTACTACGAAAGGAGCGGCAGTCTTGTACACAACCACGCCAACGGTAGCTATATGTTTTCGGACCTGCATAAGTGTGCAAACGTTGAATGCAGTCAGTTTGAATGGTGCACGTGGTTTCAGATAAACTGCTGCAGAATTCGTATTTGGTGGTAGCGTTCAATTTTCAATCAGTCAGTGACTAGAGAACGCTTAGATAGAACCAAGTTTCCACCATAGGTGAGCTGCTGTATAAGTCGAAAAATAAGGACACATAAAACGGGATTAAAAGAGAGTGAATAAATGACGTAGTAAATAATAATAATAACAGTAATGTGAATTGTTTGACTGTTATTCGAAGCAAGTATAGTATTTTGTGTAAGTACATACAACTCATTAGTCATTTGCATAACGATGATTTTCAAGGGAAAAAAACATCCTTACATTACGTTATTATGCCCAAAAAAATACAAAGACTCATGTTAACTATTTGTAAGCCAATAAACAGTATAAATATCACTATTAACAGTATAGGGTTGTGGAAATTATTAAGTTTTTGATTGAGATCATGAACCGATTCGTGTTAGACAACTGTTGGAAACCTGAAAGGAGTCCCAAAATAGGACGACATAGCCGACCAGTGCTTCCAGGTTTCCAACGGTGATCTAACATCAATCTGTTCATGATCTCATTATTAACTTTAAGTTTAAATCAATTGTGTTAACGTGATTCATTACCTATCACTTGTTTAAACACATCCTAATTTGCTGGTATATTATAATGACATTCTCAACCCAGTGTGATTTTATAATTCAAACTGTATATCACAATTATGAATGTACATTCCATAAATAGATTACTTAATCGTATTTATTAAGGTACTATAGTGGAATTTAAAAGAATTAAGATTTCATAATGTTGATAAGTAATTAACATAACAATCCAAATTACGTTAATTTCATGTTCATTTTTGTTACCAAGTTCGCTTTACACAATTGGTATCATAGAGACAATGGGTAATTTATCCTAAACATACATATTACTTCAATAATAGTGTGGTATGTTCTATTAATATCGAAAAATATGAGTAGCATATATTACCAACCTGGTGGCAGAAGATTGAGAAAATTGAGAAGAGAACAAGAAAACAGAATGAATGGTATGGGGACGAGGGAACGATCAAGTCTGAGACAACTTACTGACATTTTGAAAATGAAGTATTACTATATGAATCTCATATTTTACGAAGATATTCTGTAATGTATTAAAATACATTTGGTTGTCCTCACTTGTTTTCTCGCTCACTACAGCAGGACTGTTACTCATAAAAAATATAAATGTTAAATCTCATGGTATGTCCAAAAATAATAGAAAATGTAATATAAACAGAGATATTTGTCAGTCGAATTTTCGATTATATATATATTGTTAGCTACTTATGTAGACAGGTGTAATTAGTATGTAGCATCAGTCGGACATGGAATAAGGGAATGCCTGATGGTACAGAAGGAGATCTGTGAGGAATCAAAATAACGACAGAATAAGGGAAACAAATGAGTATGTAAAGGACAATGCAAAGATGTGTAAATGATGTATTTAATGTATGATTTTCATACTTTACAAAGCTAATGTGTGTTATCCCTTTCAAGTCTTTGTTCACTACACATATATACATTAAAATTATTGATCAGCATGATGAGTTAGGTTTTAGTGAAATATGTTTTGTTTTGCAAATAGTATAATAAGAATTTAAGATTTCTAATATGATCATGTTAGTAGCATGTGTACACGTTAAAATGATTGGTATGTGGTGTACAATTGAGTCGGATTATAAGCGATCGTAGGTATTCATTAAAAAGAATATACTTTATTCATGTAGTCCTATTTTAAAATTTCCATTCTAAGAAAATTATTGTAATAATAGTTCCAAATGTTTGTTTTACACTTGAGCATATATTTCATATTTAAATGTAGGCGGTCTTGTAAAACTAAGTAGCTTAGATATCAGTGTAATATTCATTTAATAACCTAGAAATGATAAACAAAGCTTTTAGGTAAAATGTAAAAACCATACGTGCAATCCTTTATTTGCAAAATGTCCATTAATTTTCTCAAAATTTACTGCCCGTTCATTTGCATACCTATTACTTTCTGTTTCCGTTCTCTTTAACTCGAGCTTCTCAACCTTCTGCTATCAGGCATTCCACTTCGGACTGACGCTATACATTACTTATGTCAACGTAAGTAGCACGCACTACACTAGTAATATATAAGTAATCAGTCATATACAAACATGTGTTTTCTGGTAACATTGAATAGTTTAAAAATCATTTTAAACGCTAGTGAGGTAAATAAACATCATATTATTCTATATGCAAATTGAACGAATGTTTGTTTTTTTGCTTCAATTAGCAGCCAATCTTCTTTAATAATCGAAATAACCAGTTATTGAGTGGATATATTAATCAGAATAATTTTGATTCTTCCTACAATCACCTTCAGACCTGGAACAATACCAAAAAGCAATCTTCTCAAGCGAATAAGATTTTAACTAATCATCATGTTTTCTATCGATCCCCATCCTCGTCATCATCCTCGTATACATCTCAAGCAAAAAATCCCAATGTATTTGAACATGCACCAAATGCATACTTTTATTCTCTTCAGAGAAGGAATCATTCTTCATCGAATACAAAAGAACATCCATTTGAAGCACCATGTAGTGTTTCTATTGTCAGTGGTGGTACTATGGCTCCATTTATTGTTACTTCTTCTCCAAGAGCTACCACTACTACTGCTACTGCTTCTACTACTATTATATCCACTTTACCTTCGACTGCACCACCGATACCTCCAAGAGCATATGTTCGTAGACCGATTGTCTCGAAAAATGGTACTAAGTTAATAGAAGAAACTGTGTCATCAGATATAAATGACAAAAAATTACTTGATATGAACAAATCACATATGATAGAAAAGCAGCAGTTTAGAGAAACTAATAAAAATATTACAAATATAACTACACCTACTATTACTACTTATACTAACAATATGTGTAAACCAGTAGTAAAAATAGCTGAAACTGCTATGAATTTGTTACAATGTAGCTCACGATGTTTTGATGGAAATGATCAACATCCTTATTTTAATTGTATTAATAATCAACAGCATTATGTAAAACCTAATATCTTGTCAAATAATCAAATTAAAGTAAGTTCGAAATGTTTATGATTGAAATGATTGAATAAACTATTAGATGATTTATGAATAGCAAATTATATGAATAGAATGAATAAATCAGTTTAAACGAATAGTGGATAATATTGAAATTTGAGAAGTTCTATTTCATGCGTTTTTTTAATATTGTAATTAAATTTACGCTAGTTGATCTAGAACTTCTCCTGAAGTTAATTCTTTATGTTTTCACATTGCAGTTTTTGTTGTATTAGGCATTGTTCATGTAAGTAGTATCACATTATTTACAATGCTACAAAAATATTGGGGTTCTTAAATGGCTTACTGAATATGGATCAGCTTACTTTTAGATATGAATATTTCATAATAGTCTGTTGAGAAAATTTTTAAGTAGCAAATTAAACATTAGGGATGAAACGGTATAAGAATATATGTTCAATGGTATAGGTGTATACGAATTCTATGAACTACATAATGCAGATGAACAACATATGTTTATTCATGCTAGATCAACACATTTATAGTCGATCAAATGTGTCAGGAAATACTTTTTAAATTGCTTTTATTTGCTATTCATTCAACTTTATTGGATGATTCTCATGATAAGCTTATCTAACTGTATGTTAGATCAGACTTGTTCTAGGAAAATAATTGGTCTGTTTCTGAGAAACGCTGAAAGTTATCAAAGATATTAAATGGAGAAAACAGATTATATTACAAATCGTTTAAACTGAATATTTTGAACCTTTAGAACTCGTCTCAGTGTTCTGGAGCCATCATAAATGCCACAAGGTTTGCATTTCCTGAGCTCAATTAGACATGAACTTGTTAGTCTTCAATTAACAGAAGTCTTAAGATGGAAAAGAGTGGCTTACTAACTTATCTGCTCTGAATCATTATTTATAGTTAGCGTATTTTTAGCGAGTTCGTTATCTACGGGACGAGATCACTAACCGCAATCTCAACCCTCCTTCTTTCTACGGGTTTCGAACCGGCAGTAGCCCTAGAGGGGCTCCAGACTGTCTAGTGCTCCTTAATTTTTAGTTATCATTCATCTGTTGTCACTTTATGTCAGGAACTATTTTCGATCTTTGTATTTATTGATAAATAATATACTTTCTTTAAGTATGACTTATAACGAAGGTATTTATGTATACAATTATCTGTTACACTCATCTAAAGTGAAGTTACATAACCTTTTGCATAGTGTGTTAAATAAAATCACTATCACATTGTGTAATTCAGATTTGATGTGAAACGAAAATTATTTTCCTTAATTAGATCTAAAAATAAAAATGAGCTTCACGTTTTATTTTTGTTCCAAATAAAAAAAACGATTATATATTAAACTGTTGATTACTGTGTTGACCTGATTTCTGAAATTTCAGCAACCTACATTCTTCTATTTCTATAATCAGTTTGTAGATTACACTTTACAATCAAATTCAAATTATTTCTTTTAGATATCGGTTCGTTTATATAAATCTATTGATGTGCGTTTGTACTTCTAAGTAAATAGAGGTCATAAGTTTATTTCAATGAGAACTGATGGCATTTAGGCTACGGTCTACTTCTTTGAAATATCAACACGATAATTAATGACAAAAATACTCAGTAAAAAACGGAAAACATTTTTTACCGCTCTAATAGTTTGTTTCTATTTATTTTCCAAGTTATTTAACAAAATAGATTTTAGTTATATGTACAACTACAAACTGCTACTAGAAGTAGAACTATATCAAAAATCTGGTTGAATCTCAAGTTTATAAACAATCTAACCCCTAAAGTTTTTCGATGAGACTGTAATTTATGGACAATCTTTGAACGACATTAAACTGATTTTGAGAGTGTTCACTTAATAACTAGGACCAAATGAAGATTATAAACCGGTGTGAGTAATTACAATTATGATTTACAATTGAGGGTTACTGTTAGGAATTACATTTAGGGTTTTCATCACGAACTGACATCAACTATAATGCCAAAACTTTATTTAGCCAAATGTATGGGTGAATTACACGCTAAAATCCGAAACTTGTTATCTTATGCCTGATTGATTCGTCCATAAATTATAGTCTCGTCAGTTTTTCTGATAAACTAACTGGCGGAAATCAGTTCACTTACGTTAGTTTTCAGAGACCTGTAGACCTACTTAGTCTGTTATTCAAATTTGTGGTATTTTTTTGAATAAATTAACACAAATATATAATTTTTCAAATAATTGGACATAGTAACAATGGAAGTTTACAAACAGACTAAAATAGTTTATTTATCATAAGAGTAATTTAGTCTAAACTATTTGGATGTGAAGTGAAGAAAGAAACCAAATCATGAATAGTCATGCAACATTAATTAGAAGTAACTTATAGTTTTAAAAAATAAACATTGTTCTTATCTCTTATTGACTGAAATATCATAGTACTGAAATGATGTATAATTAGTGTATTCAAATGTTTTCAATCAGTTGTTTATAATGCTGATATTTCTTTTTAAGTAAAATTTCATTCCATATAAGTAGGTTCCTTTAAAGAAAACAACAAATGTCTCTACATTTGCATTGGTTAGCTTTAATGATTTTCATAAATACATACCGACTCAAGTTACTAAATTCTTATAGGCTGCACAATTTATTTGTTTCATTTTGATTTCTTCTTTTCTTTCGATAATTTAAAATATGGCGATACCGGACTTTATATTCAATGGACTTTATGGAATTCGAATAATATTTACTGAATCTATGAACAAAGAATAGTTTATGTCTTTATAGAGAATTTTCTGTTTCCTATTACAAACTTGTCTAGTACGAATAGGCTTTCAAGGTCTATATATTTTGTGAAGAACATAAATTTTCTTAAAATTATAATTTAGTTTCAAACTTTAAAGAGTTTCGGATTTCCGAATTGACTTTTTTCTAATTTGAAAAGAGCAAGAACAAAGATTCTAGCAGAATAGCATGAATTCATTGTATTTCGTAGGTTCTCGTCAGCTGCTTACCTGTGACGTGTAAAAATCATAATTACATAATGGGTTTAAATTGCTTACATGAGAGGGTTTGTTTGGAAGTTATATTGAAGACATATTCGTAAAGTATATCATAGTTGTGAATGAAATTAATAGACTGAATCTTGTAAATATATACCTAATGTGTAATAATATTCTACAGCATTAGTTGTGACAACAGTTCAAAAGGGGGTTAGAAACAATTGATTACATAATGAATAAACATTGATAGGAAACAATAATAGGAATAATAATAATAATAATAATAATAATAGAAATTAATAATCTTTCAACTGAACTCTACTCACTATATTCCTATCAATGTTTACTTGTTTCTAGCCCTTTAAACGGTTGTCACAATGTTCTTTTACATAAGGTATATATTTACAACATTCAGTCTATTACACTTATTTACACCCTTGCTATACTATACGAATATGTCTTCAATATAACTTCCAAACAAACCCTCTCATGTAAGCAATTTAAACTTATTACGTAACTATGATTTTTAAATATCACAGGCTGTTAGCAGCTGACGAGAACCTACGAAATACAATGAATTCATGCTATTCAGCTAGAATCTTTGTTCTTGCTCTTTTCAAAATGATAATGGGAACTATGTGTATGAAATTTTTCTAATTTGTCTGGTTTCGCAAAAAAAATACCTAGATCATTCTTAATTGAACTAATGTTACGTCATTTTAAAATATGGTAACAAAGGATGATTGTTGTTTATCATTAAATAATTAACTAATTTTTATTGCCTTGATTTTTCGGAAATTAATTATGGATTTTTCGATCAATACAGTATACAGTTAGGAATTAATACGCATGGTTCATTTTCCATAAATACGTACCGTATTCTGTTGCATATATCCTATAAATAAGACACAAACTATGTCTCGTTATATTTCGTTAATTTGATCTTGAATAACACTGGATTATTTTAGCTTGAGTTTTTGTCTTGTCCTAATTTAGGACATTTTTATTTTAACCATAATTAAAATATCAACTAAAGCTTAACATAGCATATCTTAACAGCAGTAAAAATGGTTTTTAAAATGTTAAGATCCAAAGTATTTTAGAACTTGTTTATGAATACCTTGATAATGACAGTGATTTCTTGATACTATCGTAGTGAACGGAAGCGTAGGTAGGAAAACTCAATTTATTGGCTTGTAAAATATGAAAATTATGAGTTAAATACATCATTTGCATATCTTCAGTCAGTTGTCCTACACATACTTCATCATTTTTTCGGTCCTGTTATTATACCAAGTGGTTTTTGTTTTTCTTTCCCTTCTCTTTATTTCAGTACTCTACTGAGAAGCATTCTATATTTAATTTCCGCTACATACTACTCACGTTTGTCTGAATAAGTGGTGGACACTACACTATCATAAGTAAATTTTGTCCAGCGATACGATTAGCTTACGAAACTTAAAGCTGATCTATCACTACTCTGTAAAATGGATAATGTTTAGTATAAGAGTAGATTTAAGGGTTTATATAATAATAAGTATCTCTGCCTTAATCAAAGTCAGTAGTATTTTCATACACTGATATAGTTTACGATCACATATTAAAAATGAAATGATTCTCATGAATTAAATAAAAACATGACATATATTAGCAGGATTCACTGACTGGTTAATGAATGAATGAATGTCCTATTCTCCTACTTCTTAGCGATCATCAGATTCTATCGACCACAGTGAGCCGGCTACTAGTCTAAATGCCTAGACAATGTGTGCATTGAGGTCATTGAAGTATACTGTATATTATAGTCATACGTATTCATATATGAATACGTGGACATGTTTCATGCATATAAAGAAATAGAATATTTTATATTACAAACCATCATTGTTCTTCATTACAGTTTTAGAGAAACTAGTACTCAATATAGTTTTAAATTTGGTACACTTAAGAAAATATCGTCAAAATGATTCAATTGTATCCATGTATTGAAATACATTCAATCATAAATGTAAAATTACCTTAGTGATTTCTGT